ATAATACTTCAGAAAATTCATCAACAAATAGGCCTCAATTTATCTTTACGTAAACCTCTTTATCTACGTCGAGAAGTTGAATGGGTGACTTTGGACATATATTGTTGAGGTATGCTTAATGTTGGGGGGAGAAAAGAGAGAGGGGAGAAACGAGAAAATGGATAATTCAGTAAATAAATAATTACGTTATTGACATAAACATTTGTCCTAATGGTAGAGTTTAGGATGATATAATTCTGGTTGGTCGGTATTTTGCCAAACAAATAAGTGCATAAGTGGTGAATAATTGTATTAGAGAACCTGTCCCTATTGGAGTTCATCCGGAGTTCACTGAATTAATTTCAATTCCATTGTAGCTTGTGCGGTTGCCTGGCAGGGTATTGCCGTGAATTTTAATATCTGCAGTTTGCACACGGCTAGAGAAAGACAATAATTAATTTAGCTATCGTAGCTTTACATTTTTCAATACGTCAACGGAATTAACATCGAATTATAGCAACGATTATTTCATTTCTGTTGAGCCCAAATACGATCTGTGCGTCCCTAAAATGTCCAATGATAGGCCTATTATACATTTAGATGAAAATAAGACAAAAAGTGAGCACATATGTTAAAACCACAATACTCAATACATTTATTGTAAGGAAAGGGTATCGAATATCCTCAACAGCATTTACTTTATACTTTTAACTCCACAAGTAGCCTAGCACATTTATGGTGAAATATCAGCTAACAATCAATTGAACAATTTATAAAAATTTTAACAAAACATATATGTATATTTTTAACAAGATAGATTTCTAAATGTTATTCTACATTAACAATATTGTATATCACGGTTTGTTAACTGCACATTTGGTTCTCCCCATTGTGCACAGGAGATGTTATTTATGCAACAAAGAAAATGAAATTCACTATGCTTGAGTTGTTTTTCGGGCTTGGAAAGCCTTTTTGAATGAGCCCCTTTCCTAGTCCATTTTTCTTCAAAGTAATGACCTGGGCACAATTCAATATGACCGAGCAAGCTATGCATACATTACTATAGAAGTTGCGAGTGGGAGAGACCCAAAGAAGGGGTGAAACGCAGGTCAGCACGTCTAACAAATATTAAAATGTCCTCGGACTCGTGACACGCCTTGCTGTTTAACAAAGACTGCCAAACTGCGAGATTAATACGAAAACTTGAGCCCACAACAAAAATGCCTTAAAGCACCCGGTGGTTTGTCGCGTTCAGAACAGTAGAGGGGTAATGTGCATTTTATTTTTTAGATGTATTAGGTGGCATGCGGTGGTGTTGGGGGGGGGGGGGGGGAGGGGATATACTAGCCCTCTCTTGTCGCCCACCGCAAGGTTAAAGCGACTATGTCGCATTCTTTCGACTGATGAAGTTGGTCTCCTGCTGTTTTATCGTATTATTTTCTTCCTCTTATAGTATGTGTAGTCTACGCGTCGGAGATTGGCTTGCGCCCTTTGGATAGTTTAATGCCCGCCTGCCCATTGTCGCCCTATGCTACCGGAGTGAAGTTTAGGGGAACACCGCGGAAATGAGAGGGAGTTTCACGCAGAAAGGTATCACGGAGAGGTCACGGGCTAAACCTGTGGCGTTAGAGAAAGGAAAAGGGGCTTCAGGGCTCACGGTACGGTGAAAGAGAAAGAAAGGCTTGGAGAATCGACAATAACTGGAGCAAGACCGCGTCCTGTGTGCAGCAGGAGAGATGGGGAAAGGGGGGAATCGAAGACAAGATGAAATGTGCCAAGGAGCGAAGTAAGTAAGAAATTGGCGCTTCATTTACATATCGCGGTGTTCTCCATAGAGCAGGTGCTTGCCTGGTCGGACCACGTGCTTTGCACTGCGGTGAGTGGTACTGTTCCCCCTCCTTTCATATTCGGAGTAGTTATGACTTTAATTCAACCCATTGAGGTGCTGTACCCTGAGCACCGTGTGGGGTTTTGGGGTGAATATTTACCTTTGCTATAGTTTGTGGGTGCTCTCCTTGAATGCCTGTCGGTGTACACATTAACCCCCGAAGGGGCAGATGGCTCAGGCGTCCCAATGCGGTTCAGAGGGGATAGTTAAGGGGGTGAAGGCGAGGTCGTGGACTCCAGGGGGTGAAAGGGTTAGAGTGGACACTAGGGCTGGACTTTCTCCCTTGTGCTATGAACATATATTGGTCTTATTTTTGTGCATTAGAATTTAGTCGTGTGACATGTTTCTTATACAGGTATGATTAGGACTAGCTGGATTAATTTGTTCATTTTGTCCACATTGTATATTGATTCATTTAGCCGTGATATAAAGAATGCCAATTGTTCTGAGGAGTAAGCTAGAAGAATAGACTGAGACAATGCTAGAAAAGGACGATTTGAGTGTTCAGGACATTGCTAAGGCCTATTTGTGAATTAAGCAGCCCAACGAATATGTAAACGCTAGGGGTGCTAAAGATTTCGTAATGTAGATTTGGTTAGTTTTTTTCCTCATTACAAAGTATGAAACGAACAAAGAGAATTCTGGTGAAGAGGTTCACTTCGATTCCATCTCTATTTTTTCGTTTTTTCTGAAATGACGTTGGCTTTTGCTCACTAATAGTTTCTTAAATTGAATTTGGTCCCAAATTCCATAGCAAAGAACCCTTGCGATTTCTAAACAAAGACCCATCCAAACAATAACCTACACTCATTGATATAGGAACACTTTGAGATAAATATATTTTGACTAAAATGGACATATGGGATTATGAAATATCAATAGGCCTACTTTTTTGCTATCTTATTGGTAGCCTATTAAATAATGGCACAATATAAGATATTTCAAAATATTTTAATTCTGCATCATAGGAGTAGCCTATCACTGGTATCGTGTTAGATTAATAAATAATATTTCCTCATTAAATAAATAGCCTATTTGAATATGTAAAAAATATATTTTCTAAGTCAATATTGCAATTTATTTCAACACATTTGTATATTAATCTAATTCCAAATGTCTCTTACAGAGGATGGTTTGAAAAACATGCCTTGAGATTTATTAGAGGTGAAGGTCTTTGTTGAATGTGTTTGTGTGCATTATTTTATTTTTGGAAAGTAAAAGCTGTACCCAGAGACTATTTGACTATTTATATCATTCTCAGAGGTAGCCTATACACATATTTTATCCTAAATATTTCAACATAGTTTGATATGCATTTTAATATAACTCTGTAAGTCATTTACATATATAAAATGCCAACGCAACCTATTCCTATTAGGTATTGTTAACAACACATTTAACACACATTTAGCTCACACAATGAAGTCGATATCAAATGTTCAACTCTGTAGAAGATAATTGTGGTTATAAATGCTGTCGTACACAGGTCTTACCTTGATAGTATGGACGATATTTTTGCCTTTGTATATGGTCAATATGCCTGCTTCTTTGTAAGGTTGTGATCTTGAGTAGCCAGAATGAGTATATGTGGTTTTTTCAGGACGTTTAAAACCGAAATGAGAGACTCTGTGCTTGTTGTGAGGGGGAAACTTGTTTAAAAGGTCGTAAATTCTGCTGTGCTGCTTTAAGGATGTGAGAGGAGTTGGCCACTTCTTCCTTCCTGCATATTTTATTGTTTTATATACCCTACCTCCGGATATCGCTGTTTGAGTGGTGTTTGCCGGCGACCTGTAAACAAAAATGACCTGCCATAAAAAAACACATGTTTCATTACAGCCTGGGCTCGAGCCTCGGTTGACCTTTTTCTACAGTTTGACTCACTTGATCTTTCTTACAATGTGTATCGTTGCTTGTCAAAATTGTGTACAGTAGTCGATAAGGAGCTGGCTATCTTATCATCCCGTACACCCTCACGTTTATTCACTTGGCTTTTGTTCTCTCTGCATTGTCAGATAGATTACTGGCTTTGGTTATAAACGAGCTACTCTCCCTCTTTTAATTGTAGAAGTGTGAGCTTCAGTCTCCTCTGAATAGTAATATTTTTAAAAACCCAATTATTTACACTGATTTGCTCTTACTGTTCTTTTGTGGTTACCGAAAATCACTGTGCCATTCACCTATTGTGCAATACATTTTGGTGAGTCATGCTGTCTGATTCAAAGCATAAATGCATGGCAGAAACAAATGTGAATTTGTAAAGTTGGTCCCTAAACATCACGAGCTAGCTATGTTTGCGAGCAAAGCACCTTTCATTAAGTAGTGCTGTAGCACATTGCTGACACACTTGAAGGAAGCCTGCTTTGGGCGCAACACCTTGATACCTCACATGACGCAGTCAAGGTGAGCAGCCCCTTTCAATACCTGTCCGGAGAATACCTGTCATCTATATATACCCTGTAGATCCGGATTTGTGTGAACAGACTCACGGTCACAAATTCGTATCTAAGGGAGTATGTAGTTGATGTATACACTACAAGCCATCGATGGATACAGACGACTGTTTATTTTAATGTTGTTGTAGCATTAGGCTATATTATCCCAATGTAAGCTAATGGGGTGAGATATTTTGTTATTGTTTTTCATTGTTTATAATTTCAGTAGAAAAGGTAACCGAAAGTTATAATGGGTTTTATTGTTAATCTGTCAAATGCTGTGATTTGCTTGTCTTCCACTGAAAAGCGTATTGACGGTGTCACCATTTCGGTTGAGAAACAGTCAATTTGGACAACAAAGGAGTTTTATCGCATGATCACTCACCATGCATGTGAGCCTTCTCCAACGATAACATTGCATGGGTTAGGATAATGCAATCCTGATAAGGACCAAAACTATTATTCTGTTGGCAATGCAAGGGCGCATGGTCTCAATTATTATTCAAGGTAGGTGTGTAAATTGGTGTGCAGGATAAACGTGGTCTTTATGGGGGACTGACGGTGGACTCGCTTTAATGCAAAGGTCTAGCTGTGATTTAGGAGGCTTTGTAACCTGAATTAGTTGATGAATTTTCTATCGATCCTAAACAAGCCTAGATTCATCTCTGACAGCCTTCTGCTGCACGCAGCGCACGCCAGGGCATTCTCTCACCATTATTAGCGAGTGCATTTAAAAGCTTGGCAAGAATGAGCACACGGCATCACTTTTCCCAGCACTTGTTTTCAAAAGCTCCAGCCAAAATAATAAGAAAAAATCGTTTGAATGAACAAGCTTGGGCCGCAACACTTTTCATGTTTATGTACTGTATAACGAGTTGGGCAGGTGAGGGGGCTGGCTAGTTGATCTGCTCTATAGACCGTTTGAAAACTCCGGTGGTATGTATTTCTAGCGTGTCTGCTTCGGGTTGTTATTGTTGTGATTCTCTCGCTTGCTTATCGCCAGCGTGTAAAAAAGTATGTCACATTCGAATTCGAATGCCACAAACTATGCCAAGATGATGTGCGGGTTCTGCTATGCCTAATCCTATTTCCTTATCCGGGAATCGTCAGGATCCACGCCATTGGCTCCCACTGTCACATGGATTCTTAACTTTGTTCACTTGACAGAAAGTAGGAGGGTTCTACGAAACAGGAAAACGAGTAAAGCGATAGATATAAATTTTAGTATATTTTGTGTGCAATTCAAAGAAATTAATGGCCATGAGTTCCTATTTGATCAACTCCAACTATGTGGACCCCAAATTTCCACCCTGCGAGGAATATTCACAGAATGACTACCTACCCAGTCACTCTCCGGACTACTACAGCGCCCAGAGACGAGAGTCTGCGTTTCAGAATGAGTCGATCTACCACCAGCGGTCGGGCTGCGCCGACCCACCTTACACGACGTGCCAGGGTCCGGGGCAGCCCGCGGTGGTGATGTCTCCACGGGGTCACGTCCTCCCCCCAGCCGGACTCTCAACCCCTCTCCCGGAGCCTAGCCACCATTGCGACTCCGTAACTCCAAGCCCTCCACCCGCCTGTGGCCAGAATCCCCTCAACCAAAGCCCTTCCACGGCCAGCTCTCGCAAGGATCCCGTGGTTTACCCCTGGATGAAAAAAGTCCATGTAAACATCGGTAAGTGCTGCTAACTTCTCCCTACTCTGCGTCTTTGTGAGCGTGAATCAGTTTACCTAAGGTGGGAAGCTGAGTGTTCGGTGCTAAATCTCCCCTCGTGAAGTAGCCCTTGGTCTAGATTTACGATCGGCTGTTTGCAGGGCAATATAATTACATCCTCCATAAATTTTTATTGCACTTCTTCGCCAAGCACCTTTGAAGTCTATGCAACCTAGCCCTTCTAATTTCTTCCTAAGATTGGTTTTATGACGACTCGACTATCCCATAAGTTAAGTTTTATGCTTTGGTAATTTGATTTTAAGTGGTTGGATGTATAAACGTGTACTTTCCTCTGTCACCTCTATATTGTTCATGGAAAAGTTTTATGGAAGCTAAAATATTCATATTTATAGTTGAACCATATAATGGACCCACACAACTATTCTGCAATGATTAGAGTGTGTGCTTTGAGAACTAGACCATGCAGTCAGACAACAACAAATGCGACTATTGCAAAGTCACCGTTTAAAGACGTTTCCCTGTGCATACTGCAAGCGCCATTCGCCAGAAATTCAAAATGAAGGAGTTAGGGCCTTACTTTTAGATAGGTTATTAGGTTTGTATTTTATTAGACTTTTTGTGGGTACTATCCACTGTGTTTTGTCTAGTTTTGAATTAGTTGAATCATTATCCATCACCCATTCAGGCTCTACAAACCCTCATGCGCCCCCCATTCACAGTGAACGTATACAAAATACAATGAGCATCCATAGACGTAGGCTTACTTGTAGAATTTTGCATACCATAATCCAAGAAGGTTATGTCTATATAGGCCTACCTTGTGACACGTTCTGAGGCCGATTTAATATAATATTCAAATGTTTTGAACTGTGCATTAATAATGTATGTTTAGTCCTACAAATGCAATCAATACATGTGTGTTTTGGGGATTGCCTGTAATATATTGCTCTCTGTCCCACAGTGAATCCAAATTACACAGGGGTGGGTGAGCCTAAGCGCTCGCGGACAGCCTACACGCGACAGCAAGTCCTGGAGCTGGAGAAGGAGTTCCATTACAACCGCTATCTGACCCGGAGACGCAGAGTGGAGATCGCCCACACCCTGGTTCTGTCTGAGCGCCAGATCAAAATCTGGTTCCAGAACCGGCGGATGAAATGGAAGAAGGACCACAAGCTGCCCAACACCAAGATCCGCTCCAACAGTAACTCCAACAACACAAACTCGCAAAGCAGCGGGCTCGCGCTGGGGAGCTCTCAGAACCGAACCAGCGGGCCTCCACCGAGCCTATAGCCTCCACCCTCCCCTACCCATCCACCACACACCCATCCACCATGCACTTTGAAACCTCCGTTTCTGGAGTGGGATACATGGATTCCACCATGTTTTTACCTCCCCTCTTCAATTAAATGGGGGGGGGGGGGGGGGGGGGGGGGTAAAAAACGAAGAGGAGAAAATGTCTATCTCAAAAAATGTAAAAGGGGAGAAGACTCAAACACAAACACTTCCAATGATGTGTTCACAACCTGATCCAGTTCCCTTTTTTATCCCGTGCCCCTCTCCTTCTCTCTCTCTCTCTCTCTCTTTCTCTCTCCCCCTCCATTAGAACAGAGGGCGGCAGATACTTTTCAGATTTGGTCAAGATGGATCCGTGTTTCATCTTTCATCATGCCAAACTCGGCCCCATTTGTCATGTTTACTCTGCAGTACAAAGGATGAACCGTGGGCCTGCCCATTACCTCGACGTCCAACGTTGTGTTTAATAAATGAGCCCCCTTATTTCGTCAAGAGACGTTTTCTTACTCCTTTTTCTCTCCTCAATACTAAAAAATGCACCGAATATGTTCTCCGAACATGAAGTTTTTTGTAAGAGAAAATATAGCTGATTCTCAGTTATATTCTATGTTTATCAAATGCAATTATATTAAGACTGACAACGATTGTGAGGTCCGTTGCTAGTTCATTTTTACAGGGACTCGTTTTTCCTTCTTTGTTTCTAGCGGAGACAGGGTGCATTTGAACACAAGCTGGTAAATCACGGTATTCACAAAGGATAGTCGTCGCAGTGGAATGATAAAGCTGGACTTATAGAAATATATTAACCAAAATCAGGTACAAACCTACCTAAGCATTATAAACACTACAATGTACTACCTAGCTATTATAATTACCTCAGTTGTACTTATGTTCATTATTTTCTTGCCTTGTGTTATGAAGTGACAGGTTAAGCTCATTTGAATTTTGTGGCAAGTATCTGCAATACAAACGTATTCATTTCTTGTAAGTGAAACGTAATTTAAGCAATTTTGTTGGCCAGGGTTGTAAAGAGAAAAAAGGTGCGTATATTGCATGACTGAATACACATTTATTTTATATTTTGTCTTTCTCTATCTGGTATCTTTTCTTGGCACAGAAACATGCACACTCCCTCTTTCTTTAGCTCTCTCTCGCTCGCTCTCTCGCTCTCTCTCTCGCGCTCTCTCTCGCTCTCTCTCTCACCATGTGCCATTTTGGGTATTTTAATTGTATGTCTTGCTTTTATTTACATTCCAAAGATCAGTCCTGGCGCTGATAATGTCGAAATTGTATTTTTTTCTTCCTCCATATTTGAATGTTGCTCTTTTTCTGCTTATTCTTCTGTGTCTAACTATTATTTGTAAATAGCTATAGAAATGTAATAAATGGCTGAAAAAGCATCCATCTGTCCTCTGTGTGTCCTCCTTTCCCCCTGCCGCTGTTTCCCCAATGCTATGGGTCCCAAAGATACTGAGATATGTCGCTCTCTTCAGAACAGCTCCTTTAATAGCAAGGGATGTGTAAAAAAACAACAAAATGATTCAATTTAATTTCGCCCTCCCATGGTGGGTTTTCGTTTGCCTTTCTATGTAGCCTGTCTTAAAAAAATCACTGAATGTCTCCGTGGTGATTTATATCTTATGGTCATGAGTGATCCTGGTACATTATGCCTTGTAATCTCGTTTTAAATCACAAACCCCTTCGTTTCACTCTCTTCCCTCGTTAATTTAACGGTGCTCACACACCCGCTGCTCGCTTGTGCTGAGAACAGCCTGAAAATATGGATCCTCTTTTTGATTTAAAAAAAAAAAACAGGTTCTCGGCTTGTGGGCTTTTAATGCTTTAATGAGTGTAATTTTTGCACAACAGTTTCTCGGTGTTTGCTGGCTAGCTGTGTATTTTTTATATTACAAAGGAGCGGGCCATAGCTCAAACCCTGACAACCAGATAGATAATCAAGAAGACAAATGGCTTCTTTTGTAAGGCACGGCTCTTGTATTAATTTTCATTTTCTTCTCTTAGAGCAGGTATCGAAAATATAGAGCAGGAGAAAATAACATTCCATTTGGGTGTTGAACTTTAAACAAAAGTGTGGCCTCAAATTGGTCTGCTAGCATTCCGTGGAACAGAGAAGATTTTCTATTACTTGTTGGTTGATGTAAGCCCTTGTGCCATATAACCTCCTCCAATCCACTTATATGATTTGTTTTCTCACCATATATTTATGAAATGTATTTTCAAAACCACCAGCGTCCTCCAGGCCTATGCTATGCCTCAAGACATTGAAGCAAGTCCAGTCAAAGACACACACATGGTACCATTGAAATACATACAATGTGATAGGCCTACTATCGAATTCGTTCACAGTATTCTTGAATGTGCTCTTTTTTAAATTCTAAAGGTGTTTTCGCGTGAAACCGACGGTAGGCCCTATGGCGCACACACATAGATGCACACCATTTATTTTCATGTGGGCCCTTAGGCAGTGTCTCTATACTTTTCAGATTTCAAGTGATTTTATGTCCAAATGTTGTGATATTCACAACAGTTCAAACGTCGTTTATTTGAATAGATACATTGGTCCCCACGCATGTGTCTTCACAAAAAAAGCCCCCAAGCACTTGCATAGTAAAATAAATGAATTTGCGTGTGACATCACATACAATATGCACCTTGGAATTCTATTCTTATCCTTTATATAAAAAAAAGAAGCCTTCTGCTTTTGGAGGGTGAATAGGAGCGAACAGATTTCTAAGGGGCCCCGAAAGTTCACCTCCATTATTTGCGGACAGAGCCAAGAAAAATGTGAGAATTATACAGAAAAATCATTAATCACTTCTTCTCTTTAAACACTTCTTCTCCTCTATTGTCATTCAGCAGCACAACTGCACGGACCTTCTGCTAGGAGGGGAGAGGAGTCTTGGAAGACACTTGAAGATACCACCCCCCCCCCCCCCCCCCCCCCTCTCAACCCACCACCTTCTTTTTGACCAAGTCTTGCCACAAGAAAACTTTTTTTTTTCTTGAAGAAAATCCCCATAGAATTCCAACGGCATTGAGAATCTTCGCATTACGGAGGATGGCAGCGACGAAGGTAATGACTTTTGTTTCGTTGGTTTGCTTTGATTGGAGTTTTATTGCTTTATAGCCCTTGCTTTCACAGCCGGGTAGCAGGCGCGCATTTGTTGAGGTCGGGAAAGGCTAGCTAGGTTTTATGGTCGCTTTGATATAGTGTGGGGACTTTTGGAGCCCTGCTGTTGTGTATCCATGATCGGTGTGGAGGATAGATATTAAGTTGCGTTTTCCTGAGAATTTGTGCAACTGTTTACTTCTCTTGGGCTCCAAGCGTCACCTCTGAAATGGTATTAACATGTCAGATGTCTCTCTCGCTCACCCTCTCCCTCTCTCTATTTGTTGCTTACTTCAATAGGCCTATGTTTTTAGTACATTGTATATATGGATATGGGTGTATAGGCTATGTAATAGGCCTACACACCCATGCGTAATGTTGCCCTTTGGATTGGACAGCATCCTTGTCTTCAAAGTTTGACAATGCACTGCATTCTTCCAGGGTTAGGATATTTACATTCTTAGAATACTGTCCTATAATTGGCCTATTTATATTTTTCTCAAGATACTTTTTTAGTATTACTGGCAGTTAGATTTGAATTTGAATATGAAGGCTGTCCTATCGTTTTTATACAGGTGCGTAAATGCAACAGAGGCTTGGCTATGAGTAATTCGATGATCAATTGGTCAAATCAAAATTAAAAGAACGATTAATGGGGGGGCTACCGAGAGCAAAAAAATAATTTACCACGAAATTAACGACTTGCGGCACATCCCTGCAACGCAATTGCATTTAGTGGTTGCTTAGATGAGCACGAATGCCTAAGAAGTGCATTCACTGCTGTTTCACCCCTCCAAATCAATCTCTGCGGGTATTTAAAAAAGTCCAGAGGTTCTGCGCCATGGCTTCTGCTCCCTCTGCGGACCTGTGTGGCATGATGCGTGTTAAAGTAACAGAAACAAATGATAAAAATGTAAGGACTGGCATCGAAGGGAGAGGCAGAGAGAGAGAAAAAAATCGATGGGTGGAAGGGACAACAGAATGGCCTGGCCGTGCGCGAGTTCAACCAGGGGACACGTTTTCTGACCGATTAGGTCCGTTGCGAAGTCACAGACTGACCCTTGGTACCCCTTGACCCCTCGCAGACTGGACACCGCTCCGTGTTACATTTCCAACAAAGACCCCGGGCGAGTTAGTCATAACACCGCTGCCAGGTCACTGTAACCTCGGGGCACGGTGCTATCTCGTCTCAGACACCCACGTAAACCAAACAGGGCCTTAAGAAAACAGACAGCCGTGCCCTTCTCCAGAGCTATCTAGCTGCGTGGATTCTTTTTTTTCTCTCTCGTTCCCCTCAGATTCACAAATATATAGGCTAAGCCCCTGGTTGCTATAGGAGATGTTTGGGTTGTGTCCCACATCTCGTTGATAGGCCTCGCTATGAGTAAGACTATACATTTCAGCAGCTTCAGCTTTACACAGGAAGTCATGGGGCTTTTGCCCCTCCCCCCCCCTCCCCCCAGATATGACTACTATATGGTATGCCAACGCCTTGCGTTGTATCATGCTCCCTCAGTCCCTCTCCAGCCCCATTCCCTCCCTCCTTGGCCCTAAAACCCGTCCAAGATTTGTTGGAAGCCTCTGCCGCTTGGCCCGTAGAGCTGCTGTGGTGCGGTGCCTGTTTTAGATCACCCCGCTAATTGCGAAACAAATAGCCCACGCGCATTGCTGAATTATTATTGTGGAAAGCCGCGGAGCGGAGGTCAGCGCCATGTAGTCACAGAGATATATAGCTAACGCACGCGCACTTCGTGTGCAAAAGTTGAAAGCTGTATTATTATTATTTTTTAAAGGAGACATTAAGTAAAGCAAAGCACCATTGTTACTGCTGCCAGCAACGACTGAATGTGTGGCGCAATATGATGTT